TGAACAAAAAATACACAGTTTGACACAAAGACCAGCTGACTTTTAATTATACTAGAATTCAAGCTGATTTATCTAAATGAAAATCCACTATAAACACAAAACCGACACTCACTACACTAGCTAGGCAAACTCACAAAGTATGTTTCAAAACCGGAATGTATCTAAACTCAAGAATTATTATTTTTTTTTTAAGATTACAGTAACTGAGCTAAAACAACATATTTAAGATTTGACAGAGGAGGGGGAGAGGTTGATAACATACTAATTTGATATCTTCATTCATATGACCTTAGTCTGACTGCAGTTCAATTAACCCACACTACCTGAATAATTTTTACAATGGAAAAAACGTGAACTTTTTTTTCTGTATAACTCATTAGTTTCCTAATTATTTCCTCTTCCTTCAGGACAAATAAAAAGGCATCTTTGTAGCTCATCTCTAAACAGGGCTGTGCATAATCCTATTTCAAGAAACATTATGATATATCTGCTGAATACAGTGATCAGTGTCTTCACCTATAGATACACGGTAGCACCTCACATTGTTTTGACAGCATTTCATACATTTTTTACAAGCTAATAAAAATATCTGCAACAAAGAAAAACATGACTCTCTTATATTACAAGATACCGTAGTATAAATTAATAGCATTTCTCAACTCTGTACAAAGATGAAGTCAGGAATAACAGTATTCATAAATATCAGGAACAAAGCTCCCAAATCAAAACAGTAACTTAAAAAGAACCAAAACAGATTTTAGAAGGCTACAAAGTGCTTTGAAAATATTAAAACCAAAATTCAACTATTGCTTTCAAATTTCTTGCTGAGCTTTATTTTTTCACATCCCATCCTGAAGGGCAGACAATACTAAATTTATGACAGATTAGCAGAATTTCTCAGATATATATCACAGGTTCCACTCACCTGCATTAAATCCCCCCTAGCTTCTCCACAGGGCCTACCCTACTGGGGGGGGGGGGAAGCGCTATTTTTTCCTATCTGTACATTAAATTTTATTTACAACCCCTTGAGAGAGAGAAAGACATAACGGTACAGTTATACCAAACTATCCCACATCAATCTCAGCTGTTCTACTGAGAGTACAAGTACCATAAAGAAGTTACACAAACTTTCACAATTACGCATTAATTTTTAAAACTATCACACAATGACAAAAAAAGTTATCAACTGTATAAATTACAGGAAAAAAATACGAATTTTTAGTTTTTAAAGAAAAACAAAGTTACTAAAAATATATTTTTTACCGTACCTCTTTTTAATTTTTTTTTTCCCAGAAAGCTGATCTTACCAGGTTATAAAGAAAATTATTTCTTCAGCCTCATGCCTTTGTATTTTATTTTTATTTAAAATAAAAAGTCACATAAATGATAAAAAATTTGGTTTTGGCCATTTGGCTCCCTCCCCCAAATTGACACTTTATAAAAACCTTCTGTACTTCTTTTCCTCCTCCCTCTCTCCCTCTCTACTACCTTCAAGATGGTAGGAAAGTTGTTGTTTTGGAGGGCAGAGGAGCCGCTCTCTGATGTTATGTCCTCTCAGTGCCTGTAGTGGTGCTGTAGGAGGCTGCTGGCTCTCTTCTTGAGCAGCCCCAGCAGCCCTGCCTTCTTTGCTGGAGAATATATTCAGGGATTCCCCTTAATAATCACCTACCCTCTGAGCACTTTGTAGTTTTAAAATAATAAAGAGCCCCCAAAGCTTCCTCCCCACAAAAAGCAGGATCTTCTCAGAGCCAGGGGGGCAGCAGCTCCTCAGCACAGAGCCCGAACCCATTCCCAGTCCCTCTGCTGGGGAGGAAACTCTGATCTGTCAGCCCAACAGAGGGAAAGGGGGGAGAGGAGAGAGAGGAGAAAAAAAAAGCAGCTGGAAAGGTAAGCCAGGCCCGGCCTGCATCCCCGGGCTCGCGTAGCGCGGCAGGCGGTGCGAAGGGTGTAGGGCGGGCGGGGAGGCGGGCTACGCGAGGCCGGGGATCGGCCGGGGCGGTG